CCGCAACCTTGAGATTAAGAGTCTCACGCTCTACCGATTGAGCTAGCCCGGCTGCCGCTTTAATGATAGCCAGCGAGAAATTCTGCTACATAAATCAGAAGGCAAAGTCTGCATCGCCAAATCTGGACGTCTGATGTCGATCATTCACAATACCATGCTGCCCTGTGGGAAGGGGTTGGAGGATATTCAACTGAAGTGTAATAGCTTGTCAACTACTTTGTATTTCGTACGATTTCGAGCAACATTGCCCGCTCAGTGCGATGCTAATTGGTTTTGTATGGGACTCGTGGAGCGATATATATTCACACAGCTATGTTATTTGTCGCCGACGATACTTAGAACTATCGAGTAAGCGATATCATGTATGGACTATCAACACGCCCGAGAGCCACGAGCCAAACTAGCGCACGGACATAGTCGATAGACCTCACTGGGGCCATTCAGCACCATATCCAAACAACATTTGTCCGGCATCGGTAAGGACATAGCATCCTTTGATAACGGTATGGGGAACTACAACGCAGGCTCCAAGAAGCATATACAGAAAAGACCATACAGAGACATCATGAGCACAATTTGCCAAAGAGCAAAGCATATAGACGATATCGAGTGAACCACAGTCGAGATATGATAGCATACTTGTCAGATAGTTCGCGACCTTGGACCCCCGACGTGGTATACTTGCCAAGCGAGCATATGCCACGTGACACCACCGCACGGACCAATTCGCTTAGAAGTACGCTAAAACAGCTTCAGGCATCAGTACAAAAACCATGTTTTCTTTCTCCTTCTCACTGCTTCTTTATAATTTTCCAAGTCGCGCTTCTGGGTCAAGCAGAATGCGTTACATGAGGCCGTTAGATGTGCTGTCTCAAATTTAGTAAATATCTTCACCCAGAGCGATATGTTACCTGCCTCTGCTGTCAATGAAATGCAGCAGGATCTGCAGCTGCAAACTCTGGCTCGATCTTTCGAAGCTCTCTTGCTTACCATCCAACACCTAGGCTGCAAGGAAAGAGATCTGCATCGGAGGCTGAAATATGCACACGATGAGGTAAATTCTATTCCCACCTGCATTATTGTTGCCAATACCCCTCCCCTGTTGTCTCAAATGACGAGAAAATTAGCTCTAGATCAGGAGTCGCTTCTGCGGCGGTGACGGATAAAGTCATGTATTATCTGATGAGACTTTTGGATTACCTCTGTTGTTGACTGCATTATTCCAAATCACACATATGCTGACATCATGTGCAATAGTACCTCAAGTTGGCAAATCAACTTCCTAATGAAACCAATACACACTCCAAGATCGTTGCGGAGAAGATACTTGGTCGACATTCCGAATACGAACCCCTCCATAGCCAATCCCTAAATCCCCTGGATGTAATCAAGGCACTTGCAGACTCTGGAAACGTAGGAAGCGAGGCACTTACTGCCATAAAGGAAGGACTGGAATGCTGCAGATCAATAAACCGCACCGACAATGATAAGCAGCTTTCCGAAGTCAATTCATGTTATGTTGCGACCAGGGCTGGCGTATCAGGCAACTTAGAAAAAGACTTCACCACCAAGGGCACGCAGGGAAGTTTGCGTTGTCCCTTTTCGAAGCCTAACAATAAACCCTCTGAAAATGGGGAGTCTAACGGGATTGAGGATGCCTTTGTTACTCAGAACGGTGATACGTGCGGGCACGAGGACCTCGATCCCATTAAAGCTGAACAGAATGATAGACGCTCTAGTTTAACGACATCCGCAAAGTCGAGTTCAACCAGATGCCCTATTTCTAGGTGTCCTATCAGATTCATGGACAAGCATAGTCCGGAGGAGATTGCCGACTATGTCGAGAGACACAAGCATGAGATCCCTCGCAGCCATGCAATATGCGTTCAACGTTACCAGAAAGATTCTCAAACGATGCGGCAACTTGACGCAAAGTATGGTAATCTTATCAGTATGATCCAAGGCTTGTCAGTCAAACATCAAGCGTACCTACCAGGCCATAGCCAGGACGGCGCACCAGCATCCAGTTCATCTGCTGAACGAGTCGAAAAATGGGCAGAAGACGTTGGAATGGAAGCGCCTGAGCAAGAAATACGCAGCTCTGCCAACGAACAAGAAGCATCAGGGGCTGACGATGATGACGAGAGAAAGGGGCATTTCGACCGTCCTTTGCGCGAGGTGCGTGTTGGCGAATCCCCAAGCAGGCCTTGGGGCATACCGGTTCCAGTTTCCCAACCTTCTTTCACACCTGCCATACACTCGCCGCCCACTCCGCCCTCAGGCACTGCCAAACAGCCATTGAAAGCGTCATCTGGCCTTTCTGCCACTGGGGAGCCTGCCAAAGTTTCATCTGGCATGAGAACTGGTCGGTGTCCTTTCGGCCATGATGCTCCCAAAGCGGACGATCCAAGGCACGATCTGGAGATTGAAACCGTCCGTAACGAAGCAAGCAAGAGCGAGGCCGCAGACACCCCTCGCCCCCCTCACGAGGATAGCGCGGACGGTTATTTTCCTACTGGCCAAATCGACCCAACCTCGTCCGCAAAAGTCGTCTTCAATGGGCCGGTTTTCTTCGGGTTCTCACCGGAGCAAACTGCATCGTTCCTGCACAAACTGGGCAATACAGTGTCAAGCAAGCCATCATAACTCCAGAAATATCTCAGCAGTTGACTCGAAGTACGCATCGGAAACATCTGGTCTACCTTGCCAATGCGGTAATCACTACTACTCCTAACGACGTCATGATTTGCATGAGATGACTTTGTATACTAGTCTACATACCATTTGACTTTTCTATCTTAGCGTTAGAAGCATTTTAACCTGGCATATAATTCAAGCGGTACTAAGTGGTCCTTCGATAATCTAGATGCGCCTTTCTTATGACATTGTTTGGTGGAGAATGTCAGTGGGGGAGCGAACCATCAACAACTTTCCCGCGGAATAGATAGAGCTAACCTCACACAACCCCTCCGCCCCTCATGCTTAAAAGCAGCTCTCGTCTTCTCTCCCTACACCACTCCTCATCTCTATCTCGTCCTATAACCTCATCTTCTCGATTCTCTGCTCATTACCGTATTCCACGCACCTACCCAACCCCATTTCACCGCCAATCCGTCAACATGTCTGGCATGACCCCCGTTTTCACCAAGGATGCCTGCCCTCGTAAGTCTGGTTTACCATTGACCTTCCGGGCTACTGTCCCGGTGTAGAAAACAAATAAAAGGAAGTTCACTAATCAATTGATCGCTACTCTAGCTGCCGGTCCCTACGTAAGTCCCACACCCGACCCCCAAGTCGAAAGGCCAAAACTAGAATCTGTGTCCTGCTACAAATCCTACCAATCCCCATGAATCCAAGACACAGCAATTGACCCTTCGTCAAACGTCTTCAGTCCCAAGCCATCCGTGCCAACGGCCAGCTCTTCATCTCCGGCCAGATCCCCGCTGACGCTTCCGGCAACCTCGTCGAGGGCAACATCGGCGAAAAGACACAGGCCTGCTGCAACAACATCAAGGCCATTCTTGACGCTGCCGGGTCCAGCGTCGACAAGATCGTCAAGGTCAATGTGCGTTATAGCATTCGCGTTATTCCTCGTGATCCAACGATTGCGGAGAGTGTGGGGTTGGTGCTGACTCTGAGACTGTTCACAGGTCTTCCTCACTAATATGGCCGACTTTGCCGAGATGAACGCTACTTATGAGAAGTTCTTCACCCACAAGCCTGCTCGCAGCTGTGTTGCTGTTGCTCAACTGCCCAAGGGTGTGCCGGTCGAGATCGAGTGCATTGCTCTGCAGTAAACCAGATCAATCTCACTGGAAAAGGGTGTCTATATATAGACGAATTTCTCCGTAACGAGAGACGAATGAAATTCAAACATGACGAAATGGCTCCGATTGTCCGTGAATTTATTCTCATTAACAATTAGATCCTCGTTATGTTTGCTGTCTAGGTTTCATATTCAACACCATCAATCCCGCGAAACAAACGTAATTGCATCTGAAACTCGCCAAGCAAACAAAAATTGGGAATCATAAACTTCATGTGGTCGAGCGATGCTAAAATGCAGAATTGCAGACGAAACGACAAGCGCAAGAAAAGGTTACTCAGTAATAGACACAATCATACCAGCATCCCCCCAAGTCATCTTCGTCCAAGAGTGCCCGCCATTCTTCCGCCCATTCCTGCCATGAGGCTTTGCTTTACGATAGCATCCGCTGCAGCTGCAGCTGCGAGCCTTTCCTTTTGACGGCTTCGATCACGTAGATATCCAGCAGCTTCTGGTCTCATACGAAGAATCCGTAAAATCATATCATCATTCGGCTCTGCCTGGGCCTCACGCCTTCTCTCCTCTTTCATCTTTTTCATTGTGCCGAGATTCCGCGACAGCATGATGCTCTTGACCCGCCGCGTGTTCGGCACCCCAAGGATACTACCAGTTCCTCCAGATCCGATATGCGGTGGCGCTGACACTCGGTTCTTATTCACTTGCTGCCGTGATATCGTCGCTGATGCCATGCGCTCAGACGTACGGATCAAGCTCTCCGTTGGTTCAAAATAGAAAAAGTTCAGTGTCTGGATCTCATGGTACTTGGGTGATTTCAGAATATCAAGCGAGACGCCGTGGGCTTCGCCAGTTTCCTCATCAACAGCATGGAAGAAATTCAAGAGAAGTACAAGCCAACGCGACACAATGTCGACTTCTTGCATCGTAAGAGGTTTCTGATGAGAAGGTTTATCCGACAACGGAGGAACGAGCAAGCCTTCGATGGTGGCAAGAACCTCTTTCCACAGGCGCGCCATAACCATCTTCATTGCTTCAGATGTGAGAGTTTTGTTCATGATTGCAAAGTTATCGTTAAAATAGTCAAAAAGTGGTTTGAGTGCATTCTCCACTTCTATAGCAGATGGAGCCGTTGTAGCGTTCTGCGGGCGATTCCGGCTCAGGAAGTTAGACACACTAGAGATGCTGAGACCTCTAGACAACAGGGATTTGAGGGTCCGTCGAGACAAGCAATGACTGATGTACGCAGAAAGCTGGAAAAATGGTCAATGTCCTGAAGCCCCGTCGGTCGGCTATGGAAGGGTGACTTACCTTTTCGGTGATCTTGCGAGTCATATCTCTTTCGGTACGTTTTAATGTCCGAAACGCTTTGCCGAAATAGAACTGGATGTCATCGCGCTCCCCTTCCATGCTGACACGGAGTAGCAATCTGCCCTGGGTGTCTAGGTCGAGCCAGTACTCCCTCGGAAGAAAATCACTGAAATGCACGGGATCAAGTTTGATCGAAGTGCGACCAACGTAGTCGTGATCACCAACTGCATCCCAGTCCCAGATGGTCGCAATGATATTTAGTGGTCCTTGTGTTGTTATGTCGACAGCATCATCCCACCGTGGGTTCAGGTTGTTGTAGATGATCCTAGTCTTAGCAATTCGCTTCTGATACTCATCTGTGAGAACAACGTAAGGATCACTGCTGCCATTCATGTCACAGGCTTTGAGATCTTCGGCCTCCACGACCTTGATTGTGAAAACGTAGGTTGTTGATCTGCGGATTTTCTGTAGCTGCGGGCCTGCGTGCTGTGCAATCACTTCCGCACATCCGTCGACATTGATCTCACGCTCAAGCCTGTCGAGCTGCGAGAGGGCATATTCGATATTATTCAGTTTGACGAGGGACTGTAATTTTCGGTCAGATACCGGGGACCAGGCGACGCACTCTGAAATCATATCGCAAGCTTACCTCCGGGAAAAATTGGAAAGGCTCAATTTTTTCCTTGCTTGTCCATGCTTCCTTCGCCATTTGCATTATCTTTTCCTGAGTAGTCTGATTCATGGCCGCCTCTTGATCAGGAGACAGCCGATCCATTTCTCTCGAAAACATTTGTTCCAACAATTCGCAGTATCGTGCCACACCTTTCCCGATAGACTTAGAAAGGGCAGTCATAAATTTTGCGTACTGCAAGTCATCATCCCACCCAAGTTGAATCATCTGTTCAACCACTTGATTGAAGGAGCGGAATATGTCGATCACCGACACGCTGTGTCGGTAGTCTTCAGGAACCACATCTGTCCAGTCACCGGCCCGGACAGTAAAGGGATCCTGTCTAACTGCCTGTTCAACCCAGTCCAAGACTTTCTGATCAGTTAAGCGAATCCAGCGCCATACAAAGTCTTCCAGAAGACTTTCCACGTGGAAAGGGAAAGTGACACTATCCCAGCGTTAGCAACAAATACACCACAACAATGAACAGGGTCTTACTCAGGAAAGGCCTCTACGAAGAGCCGGCGAGTCGCTGTCAGTTGTTTATACAAGTCAAAGCCATCTTCCAGCTCAACATCTTCCCCTCTCGATTTGGCTTGTTGCACGATTCTGACAACCATCTCATGCGCATCTTCCGCAAATATAGGGAGGATGTTTGTAAGTAGAATGTTATAGGGATTTACCCTAAGATCTGTCAGTTCTGATGAGTGCGCTACTTGAGGATCAGCCTCTTACCCCATAATTTCCGGATTATTTCGATATCGCTTCCGTATTTTCTGTGCGAGTTTCATGATGGCATCGCCGAGCTGGATGACGTGGTGTGGCTCCCAGGTTTCTGCCTCCACTGGGACAGTCTGTCCTAAAAGTTCTTGATACTTCTCAGTTGCCTTTTGCGCGAGCCCGTCCTGCACATAGGAGCGGAACCGATCGATATCTTCCAAGTCTTCGGTGTAGTTCGGGTCGAGCTGTATGTGATTTTCCAAGACGTACATCACCGGGCCAATAGGACGCGGCTTAGCTTCAAAACAATCCATCATTACATCGTACAGTTCCCGGAGTAAAGCTTCGTGGAGGGAGGATAGCAGCTCTTGCATCAACAAAAGATCCTGGATTGTCCATTTGCTCCTGTCAGATATAACAGAGGCCATAAAACTTTGTCGTTTCTTGCCCTCTGACGGAGGTGTTTCTTTAACAAACGTAAAGGCAGAATCAAGAGTGTCAAGATCAATCTCGTTGTCCACGAACTTTGTTCTTATGATGTCCAGGAACAATACAACCCTAGAAAAGCTAGGTATTCGCCAGCGAAGGCATATTTCATTTAGCAGTTCTGTGGACTGCTTGGAGAGTAGTTTCATTGACGGTGTTTCCGAAGTAGCTGCCGTAGATTCGATCTCGCGATCCTTTAGGTCGTGACTCAGTGTCAGACCCAGAATGAATTTGTACATTGACCTTGGGTCCGACGGTATGAAGGTGTACGTATCAGATTCCTCAGAATTATTATTTGGGTCGTCTGACAACGACAGAGAACTCAGGTCGATAGGTTGGTCGATCACATAGGAGACCGGCCGGTCAGACATTGTTCGAGACAGAGGTGTAGCGTTTGGATCGTTGCTCTGGTCAGCGGCATTCGCATTGAACCGCGGCAGTGCACCGCCTGGCGTACTTTTTGCGAGCTCTGGATTTGACTGTACGATTGCCAGCATCATTTGCGACAAATCCGGGCTCTCGCTCTTTTTCCAGTGTTCATAAGCTTCCTCGTTATCAAAATCTTCCCTGGATAACGTCTTCCGCGTTTGGAGGTTCAGGTGAGCCTGATAAGTTTTCAAGTCCTGAAGGGCTGCCTTTCCTGTCCATACGCCTCTGTTTTTGTCAATGTCGGATTGGGCCTGGTGGGTACTTATGCCGAATATCTTCGCGACATGCTGCACGAGAGGCATGTCTCTAACATCGTAGCTGAGGGAAGTTGTGGTCTCAACCGTCGCCGTCGGCCCGCTCGCTTGCATAAGATCATGATCCTGGGAGAGAAGTTTGTTCTCTAGAACTGATAACCTGTTTGCTAGTTCAGGCCGGTCCTTGTCCCAGTCATGGTCTTTCAGGATCAGCGCAAACAGTCGCACGAAAAGGGCGACATGTCTGTCCACCATAAATTTCCAACTATCGTCATCTGAATCTTTCCCTTTACTCAGCTCTTTGGTCGCATTTGAGTAGAAAATAAGGACAAGATCCTCCGCTCGGCGGTCCTTCTCCATCCGCTTCTTGAATGACTGATCTTTCAGAGTGTTGAGAAACGCGGCGAATGTCCTAACGACCAGGTGATCCTGATATTCCTTCCTTCTCTCCTTTCCCATAAGAACCCCCGTCAGCCTCTTCTCAAGCTCAGACACGAAGCCATTGGGGAACCTCGTGCTCTTCGAGTCTCTAACCAGCGAGAAATCGCTCATCAGATCATGGAAGGAGGTTGACGCCCGTTTCGGGCGCGGCTGCGGAGCGGCAGAGACATTCTGTATGCGACGAGAACGAGGATTCAAAAGATACGTGAGATACGCGACTCGTAGAGCATAACTGTAGGCGGCCGAAGAGTTCACCGGGCGCCTGCGCGATGCGGACAGATTGCGGGAATGGCGAACTTCATTCTGAAGACTGTTAATCCGTCGGTTGATGCCTCGGGACTGAGTCGATGATGTCGACATGAGGAGATTTTCTTTCTCTCTCTCTCTCACTATTTCAAAATTCAACTGCACTCAATGAGGGGGGAGGGTGCGGAGACCATGGATAGAGGATTTACAACCAAACCACTAGCGAGCGCGTACGGAGCCAAATCAAGTTTCATAGACCGCGAAATGAAGGGTCGAATCGCAGAATCAGGAATGCGGGATGAGAGTGAGGGGTTGACCCTTCAAGAACAAAGATGGGTTTGTTTAAGAAAGGGGCGCGGGATCGAATGTTTTTGTTGCACCTGAAACACAAAGCTTCCCGATCAACTGACGTAGTTATAGTGTGGCCCTTCTGCCCAAGAGCCTCGAACAGTGTCGCAC